GGAGCTGGGTGAGGCCCCCACAGGACACCCCAAGCAGCTCCTTTCCAGACCCATCCCAGCACTGGGAATGGACAGACAGGCACAGTCTCCCCCCCTGAGCTCTGCACAACCTCCTGGAGGGGCTTAATAAAGGGAGGGGTCCCACCCACGGGAAATGGAGCTGAGACCCTCCCACCTCATCACACGGGTGATGGGACCACCTGGGCACGGGGCTGGAGAGGTCCCAATGTGTGACATTCCCTTGTCACATCCCAGCGTCACCCTGAGTGGGGGCAGCACCCACAGACACCCCAAACCCCCCCCAGTTTACATCCCACACACCCAGCCCCCCTTCCTGCCGCCCCAGCTCCTCGGGAATGGAGTTCAGCCCTCCCTGGGCTGATGTCCCGCCCCGTCCCACCCCCGCAGGTACCACAGCCTGTACCTGAAGGTCAAGGGCAACGTGTTCAAGAACAAGCGGATCCTCATGGAGCACATCCACAAGCTGAAGGCGGACAAGGCCCGCAAGAAGCTCCTGGCGTGAGTGCTGCCCCTGGGCAGGGGGGGTTTGTCAGCAGTGACCCCCCCCCGTGGGTCATTCCAGCTGGATTCTGGCCCTGGTGGGAGTGCTGCCCCTGGGCAGGGGGGGTTTGTCAGCAGTGACCCCTCCCCATGGGTCATTCCAGCTGGATTCTGGCCCTGGTGGGAGGGATCGGTCCCGAACTGGGCAGGGCTGGCTGGAAGCAGAGAAATGTGGGATCGTGGTGGAGTTCTGTGTTAATGCTCAGAGAGGGGGAAACTGGGAAATTCCTGAGCAGCTGCTGGAGTCGGGGAATGATTGACCAGGGGGAGGGGAGGGATCCCAAAATCCTTGGGGGGGAAAGGCTGAATAACTTCACCCTGGGCTTCAGTAAAGGCCGTGACCCCACACAGCCCCTGCTGGCTCCTCCCGGGCCAGAGCGAAGGGAGAACCCCGAAATCCAGAGGGAGGGCCGTGGGTGCTGGAGCAAGGCTGGTCTGGGACAGCGGGAGGAGACTGGGGCCAGGGGTCAGGGTGGTTTTGGGGCTGTCTGGGTGCTCCTGTGCACCCAGACCCCTCGATCCCGCAGGGACCAGGCGGAGGCGCGGCGCTCCAAGACCAAGGAGGCGCGGAAGCGGCGGGAGGAGCGGCTGCAGGCCAAGAAGGAGGAGATCATCAAGACCCTCTCCAAGGAGGAGGAGGCCAAGAAGTGACCCCGTGGGCTGTCCCTGCCAGGGAGTGTGTTCCAGCTTCCAGCACCCAATAAAAAACCATCCGGGACCCCTCCTGCTGAGTGTCCCTGTCTGGAGCGGGGAGGGATGGGGAGGGATGGGATGGGATGGGGAGGAGCTGCTGCTGCTGCTCCCCAGTTTGGGGCTGGATCTACCCTTTCCAGGCAGGATTATGGGGGGCTCAGGGAGCCAGGAGGTCCTTGGATCCATCCAAAATCCCCCCAAAGGCTCAGGGCAGAGCTGATGTCCAGGGGAAGGTTTTGGGGGTTCTGCACCCCCAGAGGGGAAAGGACCCAGGGCTGGGGGAGGGGACTTAAGGTGGAGCTCACACCAGGGAACCCCCCAAGAGGTGGGTCTGGTCCCCCCAAGACCCCCCAAATTCCCCAAGCAGCTCCTTACCAGACCCATCCTGGCCCTGGGAATGGATGGATGGATGGACAGACGGACAGACAGAGACACAGCCTCCCCCAGAGCTTTGCACCACCCCTGGGCCCACCTGGGGGGATTTATAACCTGGGGGGGTTATAAATGGAGCTGAGACCCTCCCAGCTCATCACACGGGTGGTGGGACCACCTGGGCACAGGGCTGGGGGGGAGAGGTCGAGTGTCCCCAAAGTGTGACACCCCCTCATGTCACATCCCAGTGACACCC